TTGAAAATTAAAAAGCTATTCATGAACGAATTTACCAAATGTTTTGATGACAATTATAAATTGGCTTTGTACGACATGGAATTAAATTGGACTGGCACCTTCAACACACTTAAAACGGGCTGGAAACTTGCGTCCAGATTGACATGGAACACCGATAACCTTCAAAACATCAAAATGTTCTTCACAACGAATTTTGAATTTTTGAAAATCATTTTTTTCCGGCTGACGTGGAAACATCTGTTGTATATTGAAGTAATAGAACAAGTTACGCCCAAGTATTTGCAATATGCACGACAATGGCATAAGTTGCTAGAAAAATTTGGAAAGACGTTGCGCATCGAAAACGATCCGCACATCGTGTATTTGTTAAAAGATTTTGACATGCTCGCCAAACGAAATACAAGTGTAGATTATGTGAAAGGTGGTGTAATAAAAATACTACACATTAGCGGCCAGTCAATGAAGTTTGATGCGACTACAAAGATAGAATTGAGCGAGACAACATTACATGTTTTTTTGCATGATGTATTAAGTACCGACGACGAAATGGTGGATATCACTCCCACGAATTCCGCGAATTCTTTCATACGTCGTCTGAAAGCAAAATTTAGAGGAGTCGACTTTAACGTCATTCGGTCACTCCTAGAATACATTGATGAAATCAACCCGGGGATACAAAGAAGTTGATAACAACTTGGTTATGGAGATACAGATAAAAACATCTAGGTACATATAATAATTTTCTGAATATAATAATTTACTGTTGCTGTTAAATTGCAAATAAACATTTTTAAATCGGTTATTTTTGTGTCCATTATTCCTAGTCATGTTTTCCTTCTTCTTTGTTTAATATTTGTTACGGACAGATAGGATCCTGTACTAAAACAACAGCTCTGTATTAATGAGCTGAAAATCTATACAACTACATCTTTGCTATGATCATTGCATCTTGGTTTATATGTTTTTAGACCAGCTCGGTTCTTAGTTCACTAGCGATGATTTAAATTAAAATTGATTATTATCATTTATTGTAGTTTTACAATTTTTTAACATTATTATAGTATTAGTCATGCCAGAGATATTGCGCATTATTTCTAATGATCCATAGTTTGTTAGGAATATAGCCTTATGTTTAGATTTCCGATTACCTACAACCCAATATTACATTACTATATTATAGACTGATATAGCCACTGATTCAGATTACGTAACATTTTCTGTAAAATGTTTACACGCATTTAAAAACGTATATGGCTGCTGCCATTCTGACCATATCCGACAATAAGACATGTCACCTTTTAACACTAAACACGCTTTTTGGTGTTAGGAACAAAATCAGGTGGCTACCTAATTTTGCCATACAAATTTAGCATGTGCCATTTCTAAACACAGCGACACAAGTATACAACTAGTGTACAATCATGATTTAAATATACCAGGTTATTGCATATCTACCCCCTCTCCCTAACATTTTCAGACGCAAAATAAAAAAATGGCACCATAACGGCCGGCGTTCTTATTGGTTTAAATTTATTGACTGATAAGCTATTTTTATCTTATCAGCTTACAGTGTTATAAGCCTTACACATGAACAAAATATAAGAAATTCTAGTTTTTAATTTGGATTTTTTAGCTAAATTTAATAATTATTCATGAGGTACTGTTAAATTTCCTCATGAGACTTATTCTATCCAATTAGGACAATCGGTACTTGTTTTTATTTTATTATTTGGCATACTTAACAAAGGGTATTTGGATTTAAAATGATGTGCAACGAATCCTGCTGCTACATACTCTAAACCTGCCATTGTGACAATATTATTAGTAATATTTGTTAAATCTAAATTTTCAATATCACAGTCATCTTCAAATAGAATATCCTTTGTATCAAGAATAAAATTGAAAATATCCTGAGTAAGTACGATTTATTCTTCAATTTCTTCCGCTGTCTTATTAATTTAATAATTTTCTTATTATTTTTAGTATTTAAGAAATCAGCAGATAAGTTATCTGTCCTTACATAAACTCTGTATTTTTATGTGTGTACTAAGTACTGACGATGAATGCTTGCCCAAAATATATTTTTTCAAACGGTGAATGAATCTAATGGACCAGGATTGTCGCATGTATGGCCCATGGCACGCAAATAAGAAAACAAGTTTTCTAATAAATCCTGGTTAAGGCGCCTTGTTAATATGTACCTTATATCATTGTATTGCATCTGTAATCAAGATCTACATCAGTATCATAATTAAGTGAAAAGTACAGTGGAAAAAGTTTGTCTTTTTTAATTTTTATTTTAGAAAGAGTATGTTATAACAATAGAACACCAGAAGATTAATCTTACAGGTTTATTTTAATTTTCCATAATTCTATATTAACTAAATCTCTCTACCTACCGTGATTTCTCAAACTTGTTTTACTATTTCATTTTTTTAACATACTCAAACCATCTCAATAAAATCTAGTAACCATAGTTTCTTTAATGTATTTTGACTATGACTTATACTACTTTACTTTTGATGGGTTCGATATTAATTGCAAATTTGTTTAATTTTTAATTTTAATATTCAAAAAATTCTTGACATTTCCAATTTTAATGTATTTAATTAATTTTTTTGCAGATTCCAAGTTATATTCATTTAAGATAATTATGTTCATATTAGTTTTCATTGTAATTCAAATATTATGTTATTTAAAATAAAAATAAAATTATAAATAAAGTAAGCTGATTTAGTTAATTTGTGCTAAAAGAAAAGCCTGAAGAATATGGAAGAAAGCAAAAACTAAGAAATCATGGGTAATTTATTTTTTTTCTCTTAAATACAATCTAACCTGGATGTACGGTAGTAGTTGAGAAAGTGATGAGTTGCTTATGAGAATGCCATGTTGAAAAGGTAACATAGAATATTATGCTTTTTCACTCGCATTCCCTCTATTATAGCAGACATTTTATTTAAAATTTCATTTTGACGATTTAAATTTTCTCTATATGCAGCTTGTGGACCAAACTGATTAATAGAGTTATGTACATCAAATCAATCATTTATCAACTCCACAAATACCGATGTGACTTTATAATTTTCCTGGGCTTTGGTATTAATAAAAAGATTACTATCGCCAATAAACAATAATGTCTTTGCTTTGTTTCTAGACTTCAATTTGGCTGCAACTTTTACTTTCTGCCTCTCACTTTCCTTAACATTTAACAGATGTTGTGACAATTTCCAACCAGGTTTCAGCTGGCTAGTTTGGATTTTTAAAAGTGAATTCAGTGGCTTTCGATTAACTGACCTACCATTAGCCAATAGGAATCCACTATCTACTAAGTGGTTCCTTATTAACTTTAAGAGATGGGCACATCAGCAAAACAAAATATTTTGCCTTCTGGAACATTTCGATGTTGAAAATATGGTTTTTCTGCGGTTATATTATATTTTGAATGTAATGCTCGATTTTTTGGTCCCGTGTCTGATACAAAACTACCACAGTGAACCCAACATTGTGCAATTTAGTTATTGCAGTATTCAATATAGTATCTGTCATATCACAATCAAAGGAAAAAAACATTGGTTGTTTCCATCTTCCAAACAAACCTTGTGCACACATAACTTGGACACAGTTATGTGGTCCGAGTGTTTGTTGTTGTTGAGGTTCAAAGTCAATTCTGTTTTGAATATACATTTCATCAAAAGATAGAACCGTTATCCTCTCTAACTCAGACATATTTTCTGACTTTCCTTTTAAAACTGAAAATATATCGTCAATAAATCCTGGACGCAAAGTCATAACTTGAGATCGTCAACAAAGAGTTGAGTTTGATGGAAGTGGACATTACAATTTATTTGATAAATATCTATATGCCATTGGGCTCACACTATGGAGGCTTATTTCACTCGAAATGTCTTCTGCAGACCAACGTATTTTTTTTTCCAGTCAGGCCTCATACAAATAGCATAAACTTTGCCTGGTGTGAAAAAACTAGATAAAAAAGCAGTCATGGATTTGGCTCTATTAGTTAAATTCAGAGTGGCATTATGAATATTAATGTTAAATTTTCTTTTAATTTATTATTGTCATTTTCATTTTTTTTAATTTTCTTTTTAATTTTTTACTTTTTCTATAGCAGTTTTCCTTTAAAAAAAAAAATCTAAATGTTAATGAACTTAAATTTTATTTGTATTATACATACTTCTTAATTAGTACAGACCTAATTAGTACAGACCTTCCTCGTTTTGGAGTAACTGACAATCATCTTTTTGGTTCGAGGACTATACATAATTTTATCAACAACGAAAGGCTTATGAGTTATTTCAACATTACATTGATCTGTAAAAGTTGGGAAAAGCATATTTATATGCTTATATATGCAATGAAAACTTCAGTACCTAATCTATTAGTTAAAATAATACAAAGTTGAAAGTTAATTATAACATCTTGTTCAGAACAAGATCATTTCATAACATTGAAAAATTTTGGAGGGAAAATATAAAAATCTTATTTGCAATATCTAAAAAAAAAAATATATAACCACCGAAAAATTTAACACAAAATAATTCTTATTATATTGTTATGCTTTAATTGTGTTAGTTAAATTATAGTAAATAAAAAGTATTGTTTTACATGAAAATATGTTCAGCATAGAAATTAGCCAACATGTATTTTCAGCGTACCATCAAATGAGTAATATATATAAATATATATAATGCAATTTATACATCATACAACTATATACTCATTTTCACTCATATTATTTTATAAATTCGAGTAACTTGCATTGGAATAAGTATTTTTTAATTGATAAAATTGTAAAAATACAATTTTTGTTTTCAAATTTGCGCGGGTAAATATCGGCCAATGAGAATGCCGCCCGTTACGCTGCCATTTTGTGAAAAAATAATCACATAGAGTGGGGATATGCAATCACTTGGTACATTTCAATCATGTGTACAATTTTAGTTTATATTTATAAGTAATAAGTATCTGTCTAAATCTACGCATAAGCAACAAATGTGATCATAATCGTGAGTAAAACGGTTTATTGGGAATTACAATTAATCAATTGACAGCTAGTAGTGCAATAAGAACATATTATTAAAAAAAAAAAAATAATAGTATTATATAATTTTAGTAGAGTTTTACCATTGATTTCTGGTATAAATTAAATTAACTGCTCCTTAAGTAGTTGGGCTTATATTCCACACTATGCCATTAACTTTTTTGTATTTCTTTTTGGTAATTCCATCATCCATAATACAAGTACCATCAATGAAATCTATCTGAAGTTTTTTTATGTATGATGTTGGAAACTGTGTACTTATGTATAATGCTATCAAACGGCACATCCGTAATAAAGAGACATCAAGTACAGATCCATCTAAAAATACAATTTTTTTTTTAATCTGCTAAAATTAGCTTACTAGGTACTACTCTGTAACATTTTAGTATAAATAAAATGAAGCAAATTTCATCTCTAGAACAAAAGGCTGTCAATAAACTTGTAATTACTTTGGTCTTTAACGATTTCAGGAACATCAGTTTCTGTAACAATAACGTTAAATCATTTTGCAGTTTATAAAAACCCGCATTTGCATAACTAGAGAAGGGGAGGGCCTAGGGAAATTAACATTCTTCTAAAATCGTTTAAGCATTAATAAAATGTCAGCTACCAATCAGGTACATCCCCGAAGTAAGGTTTATACTTTTTAATGAAGTTTTGATGATGGAGCTTTCAGAGTTTTTAAAAGGGTTGGGCTTCCATATCCACCCCCCTAGTTATGCCACTGAAATGTATTTATTTTAAAATATAACTGTCACTCTAAAACCCATACAACTTATTATAATATATTATTATTTACTTAGTACACGTCTGATTTTATTTTCTAAAGATGTTCCAGTTACTCTTCTCTGTTCTGCAAGGGTTGTCAAATTTAAGCCCTGCAAATCTACGGAAATAATTATTAAATTACTTTGGAGTAGTGTTGAGAAAAATAATAAAATTGTTTTAAAAATTTTGTCGATCGTGATTCAACGTTCAAAATATCATCGTAAATGATTACTAAGTCTCACTCTCTTTCCTGAACAAAAAGTTTATTTATTCAAACTATTGTCTGACATAACACATTCAATTTATAAAATAAAGTAAATTTCAACTCTAAAACAAGCTTTAAAGGCTATTTACGACTATCGAAAAATCCGTAATTACCTCGGACTTCATCAGCTTCAGGAATAATAATTTATGAAACAAAAACATCAAACACCATATCAATATGCAGTTAATAAAACCCGGTTTATACGCATTATATTTATATGCATATATATATATATATATAACAGTCACTCTAAAACTGAGATAAATTAGACCAAATAATTAATGCAAAATATTATTGTATAAATGTTTAATGATATCTATTAGCGATATTCGAATAAACGGTTTATAATATTATATTTCGAATGAAACTTAACCAGGAGGCGCTGCTGTAGGCTGAGGCTACCCACATACTACTCATATATAGCTTTATGACTTTAAGATTTAAGCTTTAAATTTATTTTTTATAGATATTTTTAGAACTACAAATATGTATATAGTATTATTAATTTTGTTGATTTTATATTTACTTAATAAATCTCTTATTTCTAGCTGCATCATAAACTGATTATACATTGATCCTAAAATTAAAAACAAAATACTTTTTAATGTACCTACATATTTTCTATGATTGAAACAATCATATCAAATTGGTATTTGTCATTAGGAGCTTACTAATTACTACTAATCATAAAAAATAATTGAATATGCGTGGTGTCCTAACTTGTGTACTCGTTTTACTTTCACAATAAGGCGAAGCATCCGCCACCCGTATCAATTTGTATTATAAGAAATTATGTGTTAGTAGTCATTACTAATTTGGATAATTGTTAAAAACTAAAATTAGTTGTGTCTTTGTTATATTTTAGTGAATTATTCCTATTAAATACCTTATAAAAAATATATTTTCTTTAAATATATTAAAGGTTCAAAACTCATACAACTCCCTATTAATATTTACCTAGCAAACGTTTGAATATATTTTTCAAAGCTGGTTTAACAAGACGTCTTCTCTGTTCTGCAAGGGTTGTCAAATTTAAGGCTTCGAAATCTGCTTCAGGTTTAGGAATAGTAATGTCTGTATCATATACATCAAACATCAAACTACGCAGTTATTATCATTATGCAGTTATTAAAACACGGTTTGTCATATAATATTAAACTCAGATAAAATGTACCATTTATTCAAGGCAAAATTTATAGTATAAATATAATATTTCGAAAAACCATTATAGGCTTAAGCATAAAACATGTATTGCTTTTTGGCTTTAAGCTTTTAATAGATTTTTTAAAGTTTTTCCATTAGATCCACAAATATGTATAATTATACATTTTTTAAATGTTATACTTACTTAATGTATGTCTTATTTCTAGTTGCATTATATACTGGTAATGCATGCATTCTAAAATATTAAACAAAAATATTATTTTTAATCTACGTACATATGTTTTATGATTGAAGCCGATATTATGTTCTATTGGTATTTTTCATAATGAACGCGTTAAGTATATTAGATATAAAATTTAAAAATGTGGTTACTTAAGTAATTGTGTTGGTAATCAAATTCTGAAATCAAAACGAAAATCTTTTGTACATAAAGAATATCAAACAACTGCGCTGAAACACTTCCATAATAAAAATTATTACCCCTTATATTAGAGACAATATCCGTTTTTTCTGAAATTAACAAATGCATTAGGAATGAAATATTGGAAAATATATTTTCATAAAATTCAACAAATATTATTACTTACCCGGTACAGCGATCATAAAATTAATTTTGTCTGAAATTGACATAATATAAATAATAAATTAGTTATACCAGATTTGTTAACATAATTTATTGCACTACATAATTATAAATCGGAAGACTTAGGTCAAAGTAGAAGAAAAACTATATTAAATTGACTAGGGAGTATTCAGGAAAATACAAATGCTGTTATAAAGCAGATGTGGCGATGAGAATAAAATATCATAATTAGACGAGGTTAACAGAGGTAGCATCAGTATTTATTCATGAAGATTATATTGCATAAAAATAATTTTAATTTGCAATTTATTTTAAATTTTCAAGTATGTTTTTCTAATTTTATGTTTATTTTTATTACTATAATAATTATGGCTACCTACTGAAATTCACGTAATAATCTTCAACGAGAAATGATGAAGTATCATTAACTATTTTTTCAATTACATGTTCCAATCCATCTAGAATAAACAAATACAAATTTGGGCTATACTAAAAGATTAAAATAAAATCAATTTGAGTACCTTATAAAACTTTAAAATTAATATTAAACCATGCTTAGCAGTAGCCATTTAACTTAACACAATTCCTTCGACTAGGTTATTAGAAGTCGCTACTTAAATTATAATGTTCTGTACATTGTTTCTACAAAGCAGGTGCTTTATATTTAAAAATAGTTCACATTTAAATTTACAACGAACTTGACAATTAGGTACACTTAACAAAAAAACTTCTATACTGGCATATATGTGTACTTTTTAAATATATCTTACTTAATCCAGAAGTATCTCCTACAGTTAAATCATTCTTGTTATATGCAAGCTCGATAGCTACATCTGTAAAAGATATAAAAACATGTGTTTGAACAGTGAAATCAAAAACTTTAAAATCTAATTTTTTAAATAAAAAATATTACTGACTTGTAAGAAAAACTACTTCTTTATAATTCGCTATAAAAAAATGTAATATTGAATTTATTTTTCATATTTTTAAACTACCTAAAATTGATAATTGTGAAAATAAAATAATTACTTTCATCATTTGCCAAAACATTTACAATTGTTATAAAAAAACAGAAAATTTTCATTTTCATCTACAAATATATAGACAAAATTCAAGTTTTATTAGTCACAGTTGCTTTTGGTGCCAAGATAAGAAGGTTTTAGTTATGTGATACTTTTTTTTTATATGATAAATATAAAATATATACAGGGTCAACATTTTATCGTTCTCCTCTTAATATCTCGTTGGGTTTAATACGGAGTGTAATTTTTTTTTATATTTTATATTTTTATGCAATGTAATCTCTATTTTTCATAATTTTATTTGTTTTTACCCACTCTTAACTTGGTTATTTTGATACTTAAATAGTAACTTGTACATTTCATTAACTTTTTAAATTCAGAGTGACGTACTAAAAAGTGTCACAAAGGCTTGGCTTGGCCTAAAGCTATTTTCTAAGAAAGGTATACCATATTATATTTTAACAGCTAGCGCACGAATCCGCAACACCACGGGATACATTTTCATACCTCGTTCTGCGGAGCACCGTCCGCTCCTTTTTTTCCTTCTCAATTCCAAACCCTTGATATCATTCGAAATATTTTTCGTTGCTAACCCAAAATAAACACTTGGTTTGTGAAAATAGTAACCACGGTACTCGAATGGTAGATCGATTAATTTCATGTTGTGGCCAAAAGTTTTTTAGTAGTTTTTTAATAATTGGCATACAAATATTCGTTTTTGAATGGTTAAAATGTTTATAATTTAATCATAAAAACAATCATTTTCGATTGGTGAAAATATTCATAATTTAATGATCAATTGGTGGAAATATTCATTTTCGAATGCTTTTTTACCAACAAAAATAATATCATGTAAATTATGAAATTGTTCATGCAAATTCATGCTAATTTCATGCTAATTAATGGGGGTTTTTAGTTTTAACGTAATTACAATTTTTAGAGTTTGATAGAAATACTTACTAAAATAATTGTTGAGCCGATAGACAATTATCTACTTGATAAGCTTTTGAAACTAAATGCTCCTGTTGCGACTTATATTTTGACTGAAATGTCAGAATCTAATAAGGGTTTGAAGTTTAATTAAGTTTATATATTTACATAGCTGGTTCATTTTATTTTTAACATGATTTATGATAAACATACATTACTTTGACGCAGTGTTTAGACTACGTTATTCTTAGTTATAGGGTTTACAATTGCCCATATATTTAACGTTTACATTATAGAATTACAATTGAAATTTAATTTATATTTTGACACAAAAAGTTTATGTATTTTTCAACTTCAAATTACGATGCTCTATGACTTTTCTAATAAAAATCGAATTAGTTCCAAATTTGTATTGAGTATTATTTAAACATAGTACAACCAATAAACATTTAAAAAGTATCATTAACTCTTTCCTGTGGATTCAAGTATCCGAAAGCGTACCTCAAAGGTACTTTATTTGGACAAAAATTTAAAAAGTTTACTCTTCCCCTTCAAAATCAAGAATTTTTATTTTATTTTTTAAGTTTTGGATCTTTAAAGCGTATATAAAATAAATATTTTTACAATATTTACTTATTTCTACCTATTGAATACAGCAAATTTGTATCATATTGAGTATTTTTATCATAACTTAATAACGAGAATAATGTTTAAAACACGAATGCCATAAGGCTTTGTCAAGACCAATATAACAAATACTCTTTGTCTACACATGACACGACAAGCATCCCATAATGTATAAGGTTTTTTTTTATACAACACTTAAAATTAAAAATTATTAAAAGAAAATGCGGGTGTACCTAGTACTTACAAATAATAAATGAACACGTATGAACTATACAAGTATTACAAAAGGAATTGCTAGACTTCTAATTGGAATTAATCAACACACTTATTAGAACAAGGGGCCAAGGCGTCTTATATAAAACAATGCGTTTAAGCTTCGATGCTAAGTAATGAAGGTATTGGTTTTATTATGATGTGCATAGGCGGACTTAGGGGTGGGCTAAAGGGGCATTAGCCCCCCCAATATGTGATTTAGCCCCCCCAAACCCAATTGGCTTTTTTATTTCAGTAAAATTCTTATTTAATTTTCTATTACCTAAAAATGTATAAAAACCGTATTTTTTTTCAAATGTGCTTTTTTATAATATATAATTCAATACTTAGGTTTTTTAGACTAGTTGGATAACGTATGATTGTGGTTAGGGTGTCATTTTACACATGGCAACTTCTGATGCTTTATATTATTCTGGCGGCGACTGCCAACCGTCTGGCGGCAAGACCTGTTGGGAAGGTGTGGTGAAGGGTTGTTATTGTCATTTTAGACTACTTTTCACAGCTAAGTATAAACAAATACAAAATATAAACATTGTATATATATATATATATATATATATAATATATATATAAATATATATATATATATATATATTATATATATATATATATTAATAATAAAGCAAACTTATCGCAGATATTATAAAAATAGTTAAAAACCCGCGGTAAAATGAAATGTTTTTTATTTTTTTTCATGTTAAAACATTTTGGGGTATATCTCATTTCTATAGGTTTATGCCATGCTAAAAAATATAACCAATTCATTACCTATTTTACTGACAAATAGCGCAGATAGTGTTTTTAATAAATCAAACAATATTTCTGGTTTGTTTTGGCAAGTGGAGCAAGTTATATCACTGATTCAGTCTGTGCAATGGAATAAAAATGATGTGTTTTGACTGAAAAAACCGACCGCATGCAATCCTCTTAATAATTTTTTCTACACTTAATTTTTTTTTTAAATAATTATATATTTTATATTTTAGTATTTTAATTTTATAATTTTTTACTTCAGGTAAAATACATTTTTATCTACAGTATGATCTTGAATAACAATTTTTTTAATTCATTTTTTATTTCTTCACAATTTAAAGTACTATCATGTTGGGGAATTACAAAAAAATTATAACTGTATAAAATAAATTTTAAAATTTTGAGGAAGATTACAAATATGTATGATTTACTTTTGTTATAATAACATTATTATTTTGTAGTCTTTGATAAGACCCATACCCTGGTTCTTAATGTAGTCTACCATCGCAAAATTAATTTCATACAACACAATTTTATTAAAGAAGCACTAATGTTTTACACATTGTTGGACTGTTATTCATTTAAAGGGATTCATGCTTGATTGTTTAAATTATCCAATATTAGATAATCTGCTTCGTGCTATTTTTTTAAATGTTTAGTCTATCAATTTGTAGCTCTTATTTGATTACTTTTATCTTATTATATTATGACTAGAATAAATCTCGTGAAAATTTGACTTTGTGATGTTGCCCCTATACTATTATTAAAAAAACACAATTTTAAAAATCTCCATATAAGGTTATAGTATTGTTAAAAATGTAAATGTAACAGGCAACAGCCGACAGCTGGTAGATTTTATCCGAGAGGACTAGTACAGTAGAGTATAGGCACGATGGAATCAAAGCATAGAGACGACGGAGAGGTCACAGGTCTATAGGAATTGTTATAAAAAATAAGTGATAAAAGTCAATAAATTCACTTTAAAATAAGCACAAGCTTATTTGTAAATACAGCACCGCAATCTAATACTTTCTTTGCTGGTTTACACTGTGCTTGGTTTGGACTGTACTGGCTTTTTTTAATTAGTACTTGACGTGTTTTTGTTTAAAACAATATTATTTTAATTATTCACGAGTTTAAACTAAGCGTTTTCCAAATAATTTGACTAAAAAATACCAGAAAAATGTCCTTGGAGAAAAACGTGATCGATAATTGCATAGTTCCTGAGGACCCTTAGGATACTGAAGACTGAAGGTAGGAAATAACCACATAAATATACTGATACTTATTGCTTAATTTGGCTAATTTTGAATTGACACTGACATAACTATTGGCACTTGAAATGTGGTACTCGACTTGCATTTTTAACGTAGATACTTCTTTATTCTTTGTCTACTAAACTTTCAATATTACCGCAAATGACTGTCACAAATTGTTGTTTAAAAACTGAAATTGTTGAATTTGTTTGTGGTAATTTGAGGTGGATATCTTTTAGGCATTTTAATGATATCATTGTTGCATTCAGACGAACAACAATTTTGTGATCACTGAAAATGAACACAAAGTTTTTTGATAATTTCTGGTCGTGAAGTACATGTGGTTTACAAAACGTTTTTTAAAGCTCGATTTTGAAAATTGTTGGTGCCATATTATTCTGCTCAAAATATATTCTTCGCATTAGTATAGGAAAATATAATTTTAATACAAGTGTTTTACTCAGATTTAATAACACCGCCATAAGTAAAATATTATGGTTCAAATTTTTTTTCAAAAACTTCTTTTTTCCAACTTCTAAAAACACTTAACTTTAGTTGTATGTGCTTGTTGCTTTGTTGACAAAATATAACGATTATGAATTTTTTAACCCATGTGTAGGTACATATATAAACTTAATTGTTTTTTTCTACAAAGAACTTTTTATTCTAAAGTTTTAATATTTATTTCTTTGATCATTGTGTCAAACAATTAATGGAAGACAGTTTACAGAATAATTCTAGAAAATTATACTTTTTTTCACGATTGTATGTTACGCTGAATTGATATCAAGTTATTCGAATACACCATCAGATAGTGAAGTAAAAAACGTTTTTATATACTTAACATCTAAAAATGGTCCATAGGTCTTACAGCATAAGTACAGTTTCATGTATCTTATAGATCTGATAATCTTTCTCCGCGTATTGTACAGTTGTAAAGAAGTAAATAATAAAAGTCTGTTTTAGAGTTTATAATCAATTTTCTGATATTTTTAATAACTCTTAATTATTCTAGACAATCTGTATCAATATCTAATTGAGAAGAGTTGAATTCATTATTAATTGCTATTAGTACACATCCTTCGCTGGTTGTAGAGCTAGAAGCTATTGCCCCCAAATTTAAGTCAATAGTAAAACTATTTAGAGCTATTTAAAATATTGTTTGTTATTTTGACGGTTGATATTATTAATATTAAATATTCCAGAGTTATTAACAGCGAAGAGAGTATTAACTTAAAGTAAATAAATTGTTGTCTTCTTTTGTAAGATTATATCACTATCAAATAAACGCTTCCATGCAAATCAGTGGTTGGTATGCTGTATATACATACCGGTAAACTCCAAACCAAGCACAGTAAGAAAGTATTAGAGTGAGAAGAAGTGTTTACAATTAGCATCAAAACGTTTCTTTGAAAGTGATTTTATCCGAGTAAGCCATTATAGTGGGTACAAGTATAGGGGGGGAGGGCGGAGAAGACATAAGTCTACAGGAATTGGCTTTGATGTCAATTGTAAACATTGCACGTCACATTAATATTTTCTTACTCTGCTAATTTTTGTTCGTTGTGCTTCGTTTGAACTGTACTGGTTTGAACATGCTAGCCACTGATTCGGATCAAAGCGTTCATTTGAAAGTGATTTTATCACTCTCAGTTGCACAGTTAAGGAGAACGATTCTGGTCCTAAAATGTTCAGAGTTTTGAGCAAAATTTGTAATAATTAATAACTCAACTTTTTATTTTTGCGATAAAAGGTCTCTTTACTATTTTCGTCTCAGATATATAAAATTAATTTTTAGTAATTACACTATTTTTTTATATCATGCGGCTAAACCATAGGCTTGAAGATGATATGTGCAAGTATACGTTGGCCGATGAGTCAATTTATTCAAGTAGTAACCGTGAGGTACGAATTAAGTAATATACCTTTTTGTTTTACAAATTTGTTAAAGCGATCGTCATCTGTGTAAATATAGGTGTATAATTTAAAAACAAAGGGTTTTTCCTACATACAACATCTTATTCTAAAATGTAACTGGATTTTTTCGTTCATTTTATTAAAAAAACAATAGCAGACTACTATACACAATTGCACCAGAATGATGAACTGGGCAATTATACTCTTTGTTATGATTGTGTGTTAC